GGAGGAAAGTGCTACAGTGCAGTTGTGTGTGGGCATGGGGTGGGGGACACACCCAGATGTGCTCAGAGCTTATAGTCTTGGCTCTGTGCTCAGGGATCAGTCTTGGTGACGCTCAGGGGGACCACACGGCGGTGCTGGGGATCAACAGTGTGCAAGGCAAAGCACTTAACCCGCTACTCTTGCTCCAATGCTTTTGTAAAGGTGACCTAAAAACATCGGGTATCCTCAAGCCATTCTCAAATTGTGACATTGAATAAAGTAAATCCTTGCAAACTATTAAACTCAGAGCATGGAGGATGTCCCAGCAGGATTGCTTGTTGTACAGACTGCTGTGTCACCTGTACTTCCATTTGGTTGTGCTACAAGTTCAAAGCCGTGGAGAGCTGGTTAACTTTGCTTTTTACCCAAACCACTACAGGTTAGTAGATAAAGCCAGTGGTAATCCCACAGACCGCTACTGTCAAAGGTCTTTACAATCTGGACGCCAGATTCTGTCTCACTCTTTCCTAGCCCAATATTCAGACTTGACACGCTACGTTCCAAGAAAGTTTAAAACCTCCCTATAGTTCCTTGCATCTGAATTGTTGAAAAATTTACCCATGGGTTTTGCAAGTCACAACTGGGTGAATAAAATACACTTGCCTCAGGCCAAGAGATGACACAAATAGTTCCCACAATCTCAACCTCCAAATCTTAGTCACCCTTTCCCCAAACTATACCTCAACGCAAATCAGGCAAACTTTTACGTAAGGCTATGCATGCAGGAAATAACACAAGTCGTACTTTTTAAAACATTTATATTTATATATAAAAAAATTAAATATATATAATATATAGTGTGCTTGAGACTAAAAATATAGTACATAATATTTAAAAAAAAGGAAAATGAAAAAAGGCAGAATAGGAAAAGGTGTGAGGGACACGTGGCTACACATTGCTAAAAATCTATGATGGTTTGTCTAACAAAAATAATATTTTTTTCGTAATTATCATCATGGACCCATTTATTACTGGGGTTTAGGTGGAGAAAATTCAACTGGAGCCAGAAACAGAGGTTTGTAATTCCAAGAACAATAAGGTAGAAAGTATGACAGGGGTAGGGGGAGCCCTGGGCCTCTCTGTGGTAAAACTGGAGGCGGTCACATCTCTGGGTCACTATTGCTAATGAGATCGAGGTGAGAGCAGGATTGTATTGACAACGTGGATGCTCTGTTCCCAGTTAGGGAAGTTCCCTGGGCAGCATTTGAACAGTTCCCAAAAGTACATGGAAGAGTCTGTGGGAATGAACCCATTCCATGTCAGTGGGGGTAATTTGGAGGGGGTGGCCAGGCTTGTGCCAGAGCTGCCCAGTTATGACCTGTGACTTCTGCACAGTAAAATTTTCTCCAGGGCCAGGGCCTGAAGCTCCTTCACAGTGATGCAAAGAAAATAAAGGGGAAGAGGGGAGGGGAGCTGGTTCCCCCACCCCACCTCCCAAATTCAGAATTCTCTCCAGCCTCATGTCTCCCCCATCCCCTGAAGGAGCAGGAACAGGCAAATCCAGCGGAGGCCAGAACTTTCAGAAGGATTCCATGGGGAGGAGGGGAAGTAAGGGAGAGGGGGACGGGCTATTCAAACACATTAGAAATTTCTTCACAAAAATAAACGTCTTTCCAATGACATCTCTTGGTTTGGTCCCACCAGGCTGGGGAGCATCACTAAATGCCAAGCAACTCCTGGCTGAGGAAGGGCCCACTGAGGCAGAGTTGTGCACAAGACACTCAGCACTGAATGGTGCAGTGATCAGAGGCTGGAATGGTCTGGGGACTGAGAGGTCTTCCCACACAAATGCCTGCCACTGCAAAGCCCTCCTCTCCTGGACTCTACATGTGGGTGAGGGGCCCCTACACGGCTCATTTCATGGGAAGGAGCCAGAGATGACTGTGGCTCCAGGTAGCGTGTTGTTGGCAAGTGACAAGGGCCAACAGCCTACGTCCCAAGCTAGGAGTTAGTGATCTTCCTGCGGTTGCGGTTTTTGTTTCCATGCAGTTTGTCTGTCTGGATTCAATGGGGGCTAGGACTCAAGTGTTGTCTGTCCATGCAGGAGGCACAAACACTGACTCTTTACCCAGCACCACCCAACCTCTCCAGGCCCCAGAAATTGCTGGAAGAGCAGCACCTCTGTGCTTTGTAGCCCCCCTGTTCTGACCTGCCCTTGGTCCGGAGCAGCTGCCTTGGCCTGCACTGCAGCTGGGCAGCCTTAGCTGACAGCCAGCACTCACTTGGCCAGTGGGCCTTGTTCTTTGTCTCAGGACCAGGGAAATGATCTGGAGGGTCAGGGCAGAAGACAGCCGCTGCTCCATTTCCATCTCCAACCAGAAACAAGATGACACCCAGCCCCGACACAGGCACACTTGTAAAACTATTTGAATTCTGAATGGGGAGTGATAAACCTGGGCTCCCCACACCCACCGCAGACAGGAACTTCACGGAGACATGTTTCTGGTGGCTGTTTTGAGACCCAAGAGCTTGTAGGGGAAAGGTCATTTAGACTTTTGCAAGGATGATCAAGATCATGCCGAGTCTCTCTGAAGAGGAGGTAAGAACCTTTCAATTTCCCCACCCTTACTCGACTTGCTTATGTCCCCAACTGCTCCTTAGGAATGACAACAGTCCCGTCCATGGCCAACAAATGCAGCAAGAACAGGTGAATTCCAAAGATGGTCACTCTTCCCCTTCATTTCACAGGCCAGAGGACTGGAGACAAGTCGAGATGACTTGGTAATGGGCATCTGAAGCCTGGGTCCTAGGTCTCCTGACCCCTGTCTTTCTACCAGCACAAGAAAGAACATCAAAGGCAATAAAGATGACTGCAGTGGACCAGGCCGGCACTGAGCCACCTGCTGGAGGGCCTCTTGAATTGCTCTGTGTCCAAGGGCAACTCTTTCTCTGCCAGAAAAGTGATTCTCTTTGGCCTAACGGGCAGGTCCAAATTCAGATTTGGATCAGGATGCAAGGTGTGGATGAATCCCTCTGCCCAGTCCTCTGCCTGTGTACTACCCGGGGCCCCTGAGGAGGCAAGTCAAGGGGTAAAGAACAGAGAAGTGGCTCTGGATTCGATTCCTAAAAATATCTGGGGGCCCTGCTCACCTGCCCAGAGGCCTCAAGACCCCTCCTCTCCTCTGATTCAATAGAATGGGCCCCACCTTAAAACGCAGAGGAAACCCAAAAGTCTCCAACAACAAGGAATGTCTGGGATATATTACTCCTTGGAAAGCTGCCTGGATTCCCCCCAACCTTGGGTTTCTGTGAAAATCACCAAACTATGCATGAGTTCATTTGCACAGAAACCTGCGTCCTTAACAGACCTTCTCCTTGAGCTCCTGTGAAAGGGCTTGGAAGAAAGGTTATCAGCTCCCAGGGGTAAAATGCATGGGGGAGTCTGGTGCCCGGCAGGTGACGGGGTGCCCACTGGCCATGAGTCTGGCGCTGGAGTGACTTCCTTCCTGGATATTAGCAGGCCTTTAGCAGAGGGAGGCTGGGAATGTCACCCCATAGGCTCATCTGCGACAGTGGTGATGGTCCGTGGCTGACGAGCATGTAGCTCATTAACGTGAACATGACTAATAAATGGTGACCACAAGGAAGGGCAAAGGACATTCTGGGAATTACAGGGCTGAGGTGGGGGGAACGGTGGGTTCCCACTGGCAGAGATGGTCAGGGGAAGGGTAAAGAGGCAGTCCCAGACCCCGCAGACCTGGAAAGCCCTGCTTCTTGGGAAGAAACTCCCAGGCCGGTGGGGGGGTGTAAGATAGGGGGCTTTTCTTTGGGTGAGAGACGGAAGTGGAGAAGGGCCACGTGGAACGCATGTGTGCAGGCAAGTGTGCGAGATGGAGCGGGGGAAGGAACCCGCAGTGCCCTCTGTGCCACCTCGCCTGGTCAGCTTTTCTCTCCAGGCCTCCTGACTCACCGGACCCCTAAACTCTGCAACATTCAAAAACAGGTCTGGGGCTCACGAGGACCCAGTCCCTGCACTGCCACCCCACAAAGGGCCGGTCAACCCAAGCTGGACACTCAAGGCACTGAAAGTTGAGAAGAAATGGGACTGGTCCATAAATTAAAGACACAACAAGCCCAATCCCATCTAGAGGCAAGCCTGGAAGACAGCTTCTCCACCCAGCCCAGTTAGGAGGGCAGCGTCCGAGTGCCAGACCCCATCCTGAAGCTCCTCAGAGCCCACTAGCTGACGAGTCTCACCACCTGAATGCTCACCCATGGACTGAAAGTGCTCAGAGATGGATGAATAATGCAAAATGTTGGGGAGATGCGGGGAGAAGACCAGGGTTCCGTTCTTTACATCACCGGAACTTCTGTTCGAGTGGTGGGAGAATCCCTACAGCTCCCCCCCCGACCCCCGCCATGAGGTTTTCATTGCTACTTATTATCTTTGAAAAATAGCCTGTAGCACCCCCACCTTTGTCCCATGTCACCCCGGGCAGGCTGGAGTGAGGCGGTGACAGGAACGCATTGAAGAGGACAGGAAATGTGGCTGGGCGCCCTCTGACCTGGGCACTGGGAATATGCGGCAGCCATGGCTGTCTTGCTGGTGAATGGGACATCGCTGACCTCTGGCCCCCCACAGCCCCTAACTTCTGGGGAAGGGGTGGTGCAGCACGGAGGGGAGAGGGCGGGGGCAGTGGAACTGCAGGCCTGAGTCTCCTGCAGGTGACGGACAAGGGTCCGACTGGACGGCTGGGGCGATGCCCTCCCACAAAGCCAGCAGAAGCCCTTCTGCAGCCCAGGGACAGAGACACACACTCAGGCCTTCAAGGCGAATGGCCATGAGGACAGCTGGGCTGCGTGGCTTGTCCCCGAGCCCACAACGCCCACATGTCCACGGGCTAGAGAGCAGAGGGGCCGGGTAGAAAGAGAATGCTATAAAATGGCCCCTCTGCTCTCCTCTGGCCCCGCTGTCCCGGGGGGACGGCACAGGGGCAGATGGGGAGGTCGGGGCAGAGGCCCCTCCTGGAGGAGGAGGCCGGGCAGGCAGGCCCGGGAGGCGGGCACGCACACAGCACCATCCACGGGACGGGGTGTTTCCAGGGGACCTGCCCCACCCTGCGGCGGCAGGAGGGAAGCAGGGCCGGGGCTGGGACAATGAGCAACACCCCTGAATATCAGGGAAAGCCGAGAGCCTTCTCCTCTGCCCGCAGAGACGCCTGGCCCAGCTCTACACGTGAGTCTGCATGCGCTGCTGGAACCGCTGGCCGTAGTCCGAGTGCTGGGAGGTGTAGGAAAAGCGAGTGGCCGTGGCGTACTTGCCGATGGGGTCATACGCTTCGTACGGGGTCCGCTCCAGACCGGACGGTGGGGCCTGGGGGTAGCCCAGTCGGTAGGTGGGATACCCTGCTGCCCCGGGAAACGGGTGCGAGTTGAACTTCTCGTAGGTCTCATAGGACAGCTGGCTGGCCGTGTCGGTGCCCGCCGGAGCAGCGGGGCCGGGGGGCGCAGGCTCGGGGCCGTAGTCAGAGGCGGGGGCGCGGCTGTAGGTGTTGAGCTGGGCATAGCCGCTGGAGTGGGAGAGGCGAGAAGAGGGCCGGCCGTCGAAGCGGGTTGGGCCGGGGGCACGATAGTCGGCATACAGCACGGCCCTGGATGATGGACGGTCCTCATGGGCACGCACGTTGTAGTAGCCGTTGGTGGGGTCCTGGGGGGCCGTGAGAGAGGAGGGCGGGCAGGGGGTCGTCAAGTCCTGCCGTGACCCGCTGAGCCTCTGGCTCTACCTCTACCCTGACTCCCCAGCCTCCCCCTTTCCGCCTCCTTTGCTCCTTCCACCCAGCTCCGGAATATTCCAGAAGACGATGCCCTGGCCTCCATGCCGCAGACCTCCCCGCTGCCCTGGTCCAGTCCCAGCCCCCACCTTCATCTCATACTCCTCCCGGGTGTCGATGGTGTCACAGCGCAGGTCCTGCTTCAGGTCCACGTCGTCCTTGAAAGACTGCAGAGCAGCGATGGGGCGTCAGGAGCCGGAGCCTGGGGCCCTGCCAGCCCCTCACCCCTGCCAGGTGCAGAGGCACCGGCTAGCGCAGAGCAGAGAGGGGGCTGGTGGGCAGCGGCCAGGGCCGTGGGCATGATACAGTGGGATGACCATCAGTCCATGCTGCTGTCTGCGGCCCTATCCCCCAAGGAGCACTTGGGGCAGCTGAACCAGAAACTTTGAGGGACTTTTCCTCACTGATTCAGTGGGGCAAGTATAGGATGAAGGAGGCAGCCCCTTTCCTCCCCTACCTGTGCTCCTGTGCTCTGCGGGACAGAACTAGAACCACACGCAGAGGGTCCAGGGTGGGAGGGAGCATGTGTACCCCATGGAGGAAGGGGACAGTGACACGGTGGCCACATGACGACTGGTGGGTGGGAGATGCTCACCGAGTAGATGGCCTTCATGACCCTGGTGGCTGTGGACACACTGGCCGTGTCATCCTCACGGTCAGAATGCATGGTCAGTGGCTCTCGGTTCACCGTCTCCACCTTTATGTCCAGCTTTCTCAGTGTCACATCCTTGCGACCTGTAACAGGGGAGCAGAACCCAGATGCCCTCTGGGTCCTGCTGGGACTGGGGCTGGGGCTGGGGGGGTGGAGGTCACGTTGGCCTCCCCACATCCCTCCACCTCCTACCTCTGCCTGCCCAAGAGGTAGCCTGGTGGCGGGTGAGTCAGCCCCATACTCACTGCCTTTGCGGCGCCGGTAGAGGAAGAACACCAGGGCGATGAAGAAGAAGATGAGCAGGATGCCAGCCCCAATGGTGGCCCCAGCGATGATGCCCACAGGAAGAACCTCTTTAGATTAAAAAAAAAAAAGCAGGGGTGAGGCAGGTGATGGGTGCCAGCTCTGCAGGGTCTGAGTCAGTGAGTCGGACCAGTGTGCGTTCTGTGAGACATCCCAGCCTGGGTGCAGGGCTTGGTTTCCCCACAGGGGAGAACGGTTGGGGAGCCATGGTCGAGAGCATGGTCTCCATGGCATCTGGGTAGATGGGGTGACAGTCTCTCCTTCTGCACCAAGGCATCAGTGAGAGCCGGCCTCAGTGGTCATTTGTTCCTCTTTTTTTTTTTGGCCTTTTTGGTCACACTCAGTGATGCTCAGGGCTGACTCTTCGCTCTGCACTCGGGAATCACTCCGGCTTAGGGGACCATATGGGATGCTGGAAATCAAACCCAGGTCAGCCATGTGCAAGGCAAACACCCTACCTGCTGTACTATTGCTCCAGCCCCGCTCATTTTTATTAAAAAAAAAAATTTTTTTTTTTTTGGTGGGGGATGTCACACCCAGTGGTGCTCAGGGCTTACGCCTGGCTTGACACTCAGGGATCAGGAGGAGGCCTGGCCCTTAGTCCGGGTGGGCTCCTTGGGGGAGGCATGGAAGAAAGCAGGAAGGGCCACAGGTGAATGCTCAGGAGGGACACAGGCCCCTAGCAGGTGTCTCAGGCCAACCTCTCCCCCCCACTCGCTCTGAAACCTGCCGTGTCTGCAAAGCATGGGGACAGGCAGCAGTGGGCAAGAAGCTGGCCAGGGATGCAAGCTCTCCTGATGACCTATTCTAGAACCTTCTCTGACCAGCATTCTAGGAGGCTCCATTCTGAAATCCCTCTTCCTGCAGATTCAGCCCCAACCAACTAAGGTCTGTGTCAAGCTATGGTGCCTTGGGGACCATGCGGGATGCCGGGGATTGAACCTGAGTCATCTGTGTGCCAGGCAAACACCCTCCCCACTGTGCTATGGCTACGGCCCCATGTCCCTTTCCTTCCTGACCTGGGCTCTCCAAACTCTCCAGTCTATACCCTTCTACCTGTCCCCCGCACCCCAGGCTTTTAGACCCCCATGGTGGCCCTGAGCCCCAGAACTGAGAAGAAACTAGCCATCTGGTTCAGCTTCCTCTGGCCCTCTGGTGGCTCCCCAAAACATACCCCTCGCGGCTGCCCCCCTCACAGCCTCGTCTCTTCAGAGGCCCTGCTCCCTCTCTCCCGCCAGCTCTCGCAGCAACCACAGTGAAGACCAACAGATTCCAGCCATTCCCCTCATTTTCCAGGCCGAGCGGCCCATCCAATGCCAGAAAGGGCTCTCTTGCCTTTCCCCAACCTCATACCAATGTCCGAGGCATTCTCTTTTGTTTTATTTACTTGGTCTGGGGGCCACTCTGGGAAGCGCTCAGGGAGATTCTGAGGGGACTGTGAGTCAGACGCAGGGCCAGAGCTCACAGGCGTCCTCTCAGACCAGAACAGATCTATTTTTTTTTTTGTTTTGTTTTTCGGGTCACACCCGGCAATGCACAGGGGTTACTCCTGGCTCTGCACTCAGGAATTACTCCTGGCGGTGCTCAAGGGACCATATGGGATGCTGGGAATCGAACCCGAGTCAGCCGCGTGCAAGGCAAATGCCCTACCCACTGTGCTATCGCTCCATCCCCAGCAGGTGAAGGACTTTTGAAGCCCAAGCCTTACTGGGCTTCCCAGGACTCTCTCACTGAACCGTCCTGCCGTCCCACAGACCTTCGGCTCTGTCTCCACCTTATGGCATCTCCTACACTCTGGGCTTCTCTGCTGCACTGAGTCCCTTGAAGACGGGAACGGCATGGCACAGGCCTGTCCCGGCCTCACCTGGTGCACAGCACATGCGCAGTCAGTGCAGGGTGGGCTGCGGGTGTTTCCAGGGTGCGGGGTGCCGGACACCAGGGCCACCCAGACTCACCTCGCTCCTCCAGCTGGATGATGGCTGTGCCTGGACCGAAGCTGTTCCAGGCAGTGCAGTTGTAGTGGGTCTGGAAGTCGGCTTCCATGACGTTGTTGATGGTGAGAGTGGACAGCACCCCGCTGCCCGAGTTGGTCCTTTCCACTGTGTAGCGCTCCAGGGTCCCCACCTCCAGGAAGTTCTCCTTCCAGGCCCAGGCCTGGTGGGGAGGACAGAGGGGTAAGGAAGAGGCAGGCGCCACCTTCCAGCCTCTTTACCCGTGTGCCCTGCAGGCCCTTGAGGCCAGCCAACGCTCACCCCGTCATCGGCCTCATGACTTACCCTGACACTGAGCCTCCAGCCCACAAGTTAGAGGCTCCCTAACATAGCCGAGCTCCAGTGCTGCTGGCCTCCAAGATCCCACCGACCCTGTTCCTGACTCTCAAGCAGAAGGGCAGGACTCCTTTTAAATTTTTCTTGATTGACTGATTGACTGGCTTTTTGGGTCATATCCGATGATGCTCAGGGGTTACTCCTAGCTCTGCACTCAGGAATTACTCCTGTCAGTGTTCAGGGGACCATATGGGATGCCAAGGTTGCTGGGGTTTGAACCTGGGTCAGCCACACGCAAGGCAAGCGCCCTCTCCACTGTACTATGGCTCTGGCCCCTAGGACTCTTTTTTTTTTTAAGTAACAATCCCGCTTGGGGGCATCTCACCCACAGAACCCACACCTGGGCCCTCCCCGGTGTGGTAGGAAGGTCTGCATGGTGAGGCAGACATAGGCTCAGCCCAGCTCTCCAATGTGGCCCCAGTTCCCCTCCTGTTTTCTCATCCATAGAAAGAAGATAGATTAGAGCTAGCAAATGTGGCTTCCTTGGTCATTGTTGTTCATTTGTTTGTTTAAAGGCCACACCTGGTGATGCTCAGAACTTAACTCCTGGTTCTGTGCTCAGGGATCACTCCTAGAGGGGCTCAGGAGACTATAAGGGGTGCCAGGAATCGAACCCAGTTGGCCACGTGCAAGGCAAACACCGTACCCACTGTATGATCGCTCCCAACCCCTAGAACAAGCTGGCGTTGACATTTCTTTCAGGTTCCACTGGCCTAAAACTGGAATTAACTATGACCCAGTTTCCAAGCTTCCCTTCAGCCCACGCACTGTGCCCACACAGCCCCCCTGGCGGGCTCAGGAGGAGACCCACACATAGACTCTGATCACAGGACCTCTCCTCGCCGACCCCACCCCGCTGCTGGGGTCCTCTGGTCTGACCGCCTAGCCCAGGTACCCACGCCCTCAACCTGCATCATGCCTCCTCCCACAGAATTGGAGCCCCAGGGAGGGAAGCAATGGGGACCTGGCCGGCTTCCCGGGATCAAGCCTCCCAGTTCTGCAAGGAGAGTCCCCCGGGACCACACCGCCCGCTGCCCGGCAGCTGTGGTAATGAAGTGTCCCTGGGCAGCCCTGGAGTTAGCCAAATGGTCATTAAATGTGATGAGGGGTTTGACGGTTAATGGTCATGGAAGGAATTAATGGCTCATGGTGTGGGGGAGTGACGGCAAGCGCGAGAAGAGCAGAAAGGGACGGGCGGGGGAGGCTGGGCACGGGAACCAGGAGTGAGGCGAGCAGGGGCAGCTGGGGTGTGGGAGAGGGAAGACCCTCCCCAGAAGCCTGTGAGGTCGGGGTCACGTGTATCCCCCCATTCCTGGATGAGGAAACTGAGGCTCAAAAACTAAATGCGGGGCTGGAGTGACAGCACAGTGGGTAGGGTGTTTCATTGCACGTGGCCGACCCGGGTTCGATTCCCAGCATCCCATATGGTCCCCTGAGCACCGCCAGGAGTATTTCCTGAGTGCATGAGCCAGGAGTAATCCCTATACATCGCCGGGTGTGACCCAAAAAGCAAAAAAAAAAAAAAACCCTAAATGCTCTGCTCAGGGCTGTCAAGTAAGAGAGGAGACTGCATTTGAGCAGGGAAGGGACAGAGGGGCAGAAAGTCAGAACTGGAATATGGAGAAGGAGCAGAGGAGGGGCAGAGGGCGGAGGAAGGCATCTGTCCCCCCTCCCCCCGGGTCCCACACTCACAATGCGGTCTGGAGGGGGCGTGCTCCCGATGAAGCACTCCACCTTGCCGCCATCGCCCCTCACGGCGTACTGCACCGCCTCGCTGGAGATAATGGGGGGCCCTGGGGGGAGAAGGGGTCATCAGGCCATCTCAGAGTCACAGGCCCCCTGCCCAGGTCCCGCTGTGCTGTGCTCGAGGCCACTCACCGTTCACGTAGAGCGGCACCTCCCGCTCAGCCACCCCGATCCGCGGGACGATGGCGCGGCAGGTGTAAGTGCCCGCATCGGCCTGTGTCACCGACTTCAGCAGCAGCTGGTTGCTATTGCTCAGGACCTGGGCAGAGAGAGCAGCCTCGGGTGGGGAGCCAGGAGGCCTGGGCCCCTGGTCCGGGCGGGCCCGGAGGGGGGGAGGCATGGAAGAAAGCAGGAAGGGCCACAGGTGAATGCTCAGGAGGGACACAGGCCCCAAGCAGGTGTCTCAGGCCAACCCCTTCCCCTCCCCCGCTCCCGCTCTGAAACCTGCACTGTCTGCAAAGCATAGGGACAGGCAGCAGAGGGTGAGGGGCTGCTGCAAGAGCTGGTCGGGGATGCAAGCTCTCCCGATGACCTGTTCTAGAACCTTCTCTGACCAGCAGCCTAGGAGGCTGCATTCTGAAATCCCTCTTTCTGCAGCTTCAGCCCCAACCCTCTAAGAAAGTCTGCATGCTCTACAGCTGGTGACCCACCAAGGTCCCCGACTCCCAGGCGGTTCTCAGGGCTCAGGGGCCCAACCCCCACCCGGGGCCATCTGTCCCTCTCACACCCATCGCCTCTGGGTCAACCTCCCACACCACAGTCCTACACAGGTGTCCTCTGAGGAGGGGCTGACTGCAAGCGTGTTCCTCCTCCCCTCAACTCCGAGAACCCAGAGAGGTCAGGTTCAACTGGAAGCTCAATGCCGGGCCGGCAGCGACCCCAACCCGTCCCAGCTCGCAGGATGGGCAGAAGCATCTACCATGTTTGAGTCCTTTTTGGTCCAGGTGAGGGTGAGAGGGGGGTTCCCGACCCAGACACACGTGAGGGTCACATCAGAGCCGATATCCGTGGTCGTTGGCTTGGGGTCAACTACGATCCGGGGGGCAACTGAGGGAGAGAGAAGCACGTGCTCAGCGTCTGCTGCTCCAGCTGTGGCTCTGCTCCCAGGAGCCTTGTTCCTTGAACCTCCGCTGAACGTCCCCTCCTCCTCGGCTCCTCCCGCCGCCCCCCTGCCCACGCATCCCTGCCCTCTTAGAAACTCACAGTGGACATTCACTAAAGTGCTGACGTTGGTGCTCCCCACTTCGTTGTGAACTTCGCAGGACACGGGCTCCGTAAAGAAGGAATAGTCCACATTCGTCTCATAGCGACTCTCGTGGGCGTCTTCGATCACAAAGCCCCCCTTAGCCCACCTGGGGAGGAGGCAAACAGAGGGGGATCGGGACTTGAACCCCTGGACCTCAGTGGGCAGCTCTGCCCTCGCGGCCTCCTCCGAGCGCTCCCAGGCCCTGCCTCTTGCACCTGTAGCCCAGGATCTCGGGGTTGGCGGTGGCCTGGCACGTGAAGACAACATGCTCGCCCTCCTGCACAGTCTGTGGCTCAATGGACAAGGTCACCGTAGGAGGATCTGCAGAGTGGGAGAGGGGAAGTCAGGGTCCTCTGTCCCTCGGATTTCTTTTTTTAAAAAATTTTTAAATTTAGGGGCTGGAGCAATAGCACGGCGGGTAGGGCGTTTGCTTTGCATGCAGCTGACCCGGGTTCAATTCCCAGCATCCCATATGGTCCCCCAAGCACTGCCAGGAGTAATTCCTGAGCGCATGAGCCAGGAGTAACCCCTGTGCATTGCCGAGTGTGAGCCAAAAACAAAAAAAAATTTTTTTAATTTAAAAAATATTATTTTTATTAATTTATAATTAAAATTAAAAATTTTATTTTTATAAGGTTGCTCACAATAATTTATTACATTCAATATTCTAACACCAACCCCACCACTATTACACCATCTCACCACCACTATTTGGAATTTTCCCACCACAGGGTCCCAGCCTGCTCCAAAGGCAGATCCTAAATAATTTATTCTGTATTGTTTGTTAAGAGTCTGGATTTCTTTTTCTCCCACAAGCATAGGTACGCAAACCTCACCACCTGTGGCCATTTAGAGATTGGGTTAGCAATATACCGGCACCCCCAAATAAGGCAGTCAACTTCCTCACTAAGGTGCTTCAAGACCAAGGGAAGAAATAAGTGGATGTAATGACTCACTAGGGTCACTAGGTGGCAGTGTGGGCTCGCTCAGCTCATTAAAGGGGCATCATTTCCCTCTTGCACATGCAACCATCCTCTGGCACAGGGAATTTCCGGGGAAGGAGGGCATTCCAGGTGGTCTCCCACTCTATCTCATTTAATGCTACCTGCCCTGAGAAACAGGTATCAGCCCTTATCTGAAACCTCCGGGACAGGATGCTTTTCAGAATTGGTGATCTTTCAAATGTTAGACAAGGAGGGTGAGGATGTGCATGGACTCCTTACTGGGAGAGGACCCCACCAGCCCCACAGCAGCCGCCTCTGGACAACACCCCAGCCTAACAGACAGGAAAACATCTGCGAGGAAACACAGATGAGTCAAGTGAAATACATCTTACATAAAAGCTAGGAGAGCCCCTGTTCAGGTTTTGCCAACAAAGCACCTTTGCAAAGTTAGGAAGTTCCACAAAGAGGCTGTGGACCCACATCTGATTTTCTGCAGGCTTACAGTCTTGGACACTGAGGCCCAAAGGGGCGTCATCATGCTCAGAGCGACACTCAGCTCAGAATCACCACCAGATTTCTCTGTGTCGGGTAGGCAGCGCATGTACCCATCTAGTACCCTCTGCCTTGTGGCTCCCCTCCCCCCAGGACCCTCCTCACGGTGCACGTCCAGCTCTATGGAGGTCTCCTTGCCGCTCGGGATGGCCTCGTTCACGCTGCGGCAGGTGAAGACGCGGCCGATGTCCAGGTCTGTGGGGTTGATGAGCAGCTGGCTGACGGTGTTCTCGCGCTTTCCGTCCTTCAGCAGTTCCTGGGAGGGGACCCGGGAACAGAGGTGAGAACACCCCCCCCCCCCCCACTCTCTTTGGGGGTCTATGGCATATGTCTTGTCAGCACAAGGACTTGAGTCCGTCCTTGTCCAGCACTGCGACTGCATCCTGAGGGTCTTGCCAGCAGTGCTCAGCACTCAGCCCTGCCCATGGCTGGGGACCCTCCCCTGACCTCCAGGGACTTGCATTTCATTGTTTCTGATTTTGTTCTTTTGGTTTTTGTTTGCGGAGGAGCATCCCCAGATGTTCTAGGAGCCACCAGGGCTGCTCTCAGTGGGGTTAGATATTAGCCAGACTCTGCGTGCCATGGAGCCACTTCCCAAGGTGACTGCAGTTCATTATATTTCATTTAGTTTGGGGCCATGTCCAGTGGTGCTCAGGCGTCACTCTTGGTGCTGCTGGTGAGCCATGTGGGCTGCGGGGCTTTGAACTGGAATCTACTACATCCAAGGCCTTCCTTACCCCGCTGTATTTTCTCTCTCTGGTGATTGCTCTTCAACCGGCACTCAGCCACTTACTTTGCCTCTTGCCTCGATGTGCTTTTATTTTTATTAAGAGATCTTTTTAAAGAGGCATTTCAAGTTTACCAAAACACTGAACAGAAACACAGGGACTTCCCATCTGTCCATCCCCCCAGTTCCCCTCATATTAACAGGACAAATGGGTAGCATAACCAAGGATTCAAAGCGGATACCTGATTACTAATTAAAACCCGGTTTAAGTCAGCGTTCATTCCTGGTGTTGGACTTTTCCCCAAGGCTGGGCCTCATCGTTGGAATTTCCGGAGTTTCTCCTCTTCTCTAAAGTCCTTCCTGTCCCTTGTGGCCCTCAGGTCTCTACCAGCCTGAACCTGGGCCCTGGGCCAGTGGGTTCTGCCAAACCAGCCGTGACTCCCCTGCTGAACCAGAACCTCTAACAGTACCAAGAACTCGTAGCTTCAGAGCCTTATGCTGGCTCAGTGGCGTCCAACCTGAGGCCCCCAAATACAGTCATAGGAACCACCGAGTTGATTCCTATATTGCAAACTGCCTAAGGGAAACCACGTAATTGGCTAACAATTAAGGTCTGCAGCTTGGCAGCAATATACATGACCCCACGGGACCACTACAGCGCTGCTGCCACCAGGCAGTAACAAGTTCCCACAGCCACCTGGGGATCCCTGTCTTTAAGGGACATATCAAGGGGACAGACCAGCCAGTAAGTTTGATTGCCAAAATATTTCAACACATATAGCTCTAGGGGGTGGGAAATAGCAGATTTCTCGGTGGTGAGGGCTAAGTACTACTAAACCACATTCTCCCTTATCAAATGGTGAGAGCCAGAAAGCGGAACTGTCCAAAGCCATCCGGCCTCTAGGGCAGATCTAAGCTGGGCTGGCCTGGGGCTGGCCAGCAGGCAACACAGGAATTTAGCAGAGGGCTGGGTCCCCAGAAGGGAAGCTTCAGTTTGCAGAGCAGACCCCGAACTGGAGACCCCAATGCTAATCGCGGCTCCATCAACTTCACCTGGTAGTCCTGTGCGAGCCACCTGCTTTAAGTCTCTGCCACAGCTTCCTCACCTGTAAACCTGTCCTCTCTACCTCCCTAACCAGAGACCAAAGGGAGGAAGTAGTGATGCATAGCAGAGAGAGGGTGCAGGGAGGGGTCTGATTCAGGTACCACCGACTCTGCTGCATACCAATCGTGACCTTGAGCAAGTGCTGGATCTCTGAGACCATCTGATTCCTCTTTGTAGGGAGGAAATAAAACCCATGAGGTGAAGACTCCCTGAGGATTAAAAAAGACTGACCGGCAGGAGTTTAGCACTCAGAGCGCCTGGTACTTTGTGGGTGCTCATCAGGGCAGCAAATATCACCACCATCCTTAACCTTAGTGTGACTAATGCACAGCTTCATCAGGAAGCTGGCAATTCACTTTTCACCTCTGAGCTTCAATTTTCCCAACTGTGTAACGGGCTGGGGGTGAAGGTCAGGGGATTAGGCCAAATAACTTTTTTAACTAAGACCCTAGCCCAGAGAGAAAGGTGACTTGGAATGAGGTCAGGCTGGCAGGTGGGGGGAGGGGGGGAGATGGAGGTCTCACCGTGCTCGCCACAGCACCCTCCTGCTGAGTGCCATCCCGGAACCAGATGATGGTCGCAGCAGGCTTGGCGTTGAAGGCTCGGCACGTGAGGTTGTGCGGGGTGCCTGCCTGCAGCAGGATCACAGGACCGCCGTCAATCTTGGTGTCCTCTGGGGGGACTGTGGGGAAGAAGAGAGCAAGGTCAGCCCCGCGTGCAGTCAAGGGCCCCCTACGCTATCCTTGGAGGCACAACCTCCCCTCCAGGGCTAGCACCTCCTTCCCCACCACCAACGATCGCTGTGTCCACTTCCCTGTGCTGGCATGGCCTGTCCTGTGCCCCCCACCCCCCATCCCCGGTTGCTATGGCCCCAGCTAGAGCCGTTTTTCAGCCCTGAACTTGCAGCTGGGGTTCCTGGCACACAGGCTGGAGTGGCCTCCAGTTAGGACAGGGCCGAGCCACCTCTGGGCAAAACTGCTCCACCCCATGCTGCAGTCACTACCCCCGGGGACTCCTGGTCTCTGGCCCTCACCCACCCAGCCCTGCCAGGAAGTTCTCCCAGAGTGCAGCTAAGAGGCTGCCATTTCCCGCTCCAGCGCCCCCAATCCCGGGGGTGAGTTCCAGGTACTGCAGCCCGTTCCGGGCTCCTCAATCCTGCAACACCCTCATCCAAGTCTCCTGTGGCATTTGAAAGCAGAGGTGCTTTCCTCAGAGCTTCAGTGAAGCTACCCCCCACCTCCCGCCCTCGATCACAGCCCCACCACAGCAGAAGCCTGCTGTCACCACAGCCCTGCAGTCCCCAGGCAGTCATTCAACTGGGCAGCAGCTACCTGGGGTTTGGGCTACTTAGGACTATCCATCCTTCCTCCCTGACCCAAGCTGCTCTCCAGGGGATCCTGGGGCCAGAGCCATAGGACAGTGGGGGAAGAGGCAGTTGCCTTGCAGGAGGCTGACCCAGGTTCGATCTCTGGCACCGCATATGACCCTCCAACCCTGCCAGGAGTGATCCCTGAGCACCCCTGGGTGTGGCGCCCAAACACAAAAACAAACAAACAAAAAAAGGGCAGGGATCCTGTCTCACAGCGATTTACATTGTACCCAGTGCCGAGAACATGGCAAAGCAGATTCTTGCAAAATTCTTCAAGAACTGAATCCAACAGAGGCCCGAGAAGAGGAGACATCAAAAGCTTCTTCTCACTCGGGCCCTGGCGTCCACTCCATTCCAAGGTCGGGGGTTCAGGGGATAGAGTACATGCTTGACGTGTGTCAGGTCCAGGTACCATTCCTGCATGCTGCCCTATGTCCCCCGGCCTGACAACAGACAAGGATGGGGGCACAAGGATTTGGATGGTGACCTTCCTCGTCTACCCAGTGTTCATCACACCACAAGTGAAGACGATTGTATTTGCTGTGAGCAAACTAAGAAGCCCCAGTGGGGCTGCTTCCCAGGGGACCCTGAGCATTGGCCCAGGGCCCACAGAGAGCAGGGAGAGGCAGAGCTGTGTGGGAGGCGAGGGACAGACGTCTGCAGGGTGGCACGCCTGGTACAGAGCGGCCACTTGCTGCCCGTCCCAGCAATCTGCCAACTGGCGCGTGTCAAGTGGCAGCTTGGGAAGCACACGTAGCCCAGAGTCAGGCTAGGTTTAAGTCCCGGCACCTGCACCTGCCTCCCAGGTGAGTCTGGGTGCATCCTTCCAGTCACCAAGTCTCAGTTTCTGCCACAGAAATATCACGTGCTTGTTTAAAGGACAGTACAGGGCAAGCGTGAGCCCTGGGAAGTGTCTGCGCTACAGTCCGGGTTAGCACACACAGCGCCTGCTGACCCTGGTGCACCAATGACTCACCCACCTGCTTCAATGCGGGGCGGGGGTGGGGGGTGGGGATGGGGTGAGAAGACAGAAACCCCTGGGTTCAGCCCTGCCACTGGTGTCTCCTTTCCATCTGGGTCCCTCCCACTTATAGCCTGGGAGAAGATAATTCATCTCTTGCCTGTAACCAGTCCACCTTCTTCTAGAACTTTCCAAATTCTTTGCCTACTGCTCTCTGTAGCAGGGGCAATGGAAAACTAGGCTCTATAGATGTGTGTGTGTGTGTGTGTGTGTGTCTGTCTGTCTGTCTGTCTGTCTGAGTGTGCATAGCCATTAGAGGGCACACATCGATGATCATAGTTGTTTGTAAACCAATTTTATGAACTGTAATTAAAACAGTATGTCAGCAGGTAGATGGGCCTTATGACCATTATTTTTCCTGGTGTATAAAATTTCCCCAAGAATTTCAGCCTCTGCACCTTAGAGCTACTCTGAAGGCAAAGTGAGCTCAGGGTTGTGAAGTCCACAGAAGCTAATGTGCCATAATGGTCAGTCACTTTTCTGCCAGCCACTAAATGCTTACTATCAGTGCTCATATCTCCCCCTCACCCAGTGCCTCTCCGCCCTGTCATGGTAAATGCCATTAACCCCAATGCACAGCTCTCGATAGTATGTTCAAGATCAAGGGCACAGTGAAGGGGCAGGGGCGGAAGGGCTGGGTCAGCCCTGGGCACCTCGCTGGAGGTCATGCTGAGAAGGAAGGTCTGGATTACATTTGTACCTGCTTCCTCCCAGTCCTGGGGTGGAAGGGCAGCAAGAGGCTATCTGGGCCAGGAAGCTGGCTGCGGGTGGGCACTGAGGGGCAAGAGGGTTGATGGGGGGCCCTGTGCAGACTCCTGTGCCCTGCCCACTGTCCCTAGGATCCTCAGCTGCCATGAGCCCTGGCTGTGCAGGGCCTGGGGAATGGGGAGATTGGAGATGAAAACGGGAGAGGAAGGAGCGGCCCAACACACATTCCGTCTGTCTGTCTGTTTGTCTGTCTGACTGCAGGGCACCCCCTGCTGCTCTCCCCCAACCACCCAGCCTTGCTGGGCTCTGTGGGTCTCCATGCTCTGCAAGCAGGAAACCTGGGAACAAGTCAGCCACCCCTCCCCACCCACGACCCCTGCGATGCTCCTGCATCCACCTACCAGCCATTCAGCAGGCCCAGTTCCCGTGCAGACTTCTCTCTCTCTCTCTCTCTCTCTCTCTCTCTCTCTCTCTCTCTCTCTCTCTCTCTCTCTCCTAGCACAAAGCCAAGCCTCTGCTCCTACAACACCCAAGGGCTCGCTAGGCCTCCAACACTGTCTCTGTGCTCTAGTGGGAAGCATAGAGGAGGAGGGGGTCAGGCCCTAGAACTAGGCTGGGACCCTTCAAGGCGGGACCACTCCCGCCCTCACCAAGGCCACTGTGAGGGACAGAGACCTCCTAAGTGACTCCTGACCAGCACACAACCCTGAGGGATGCGGGACAAAGTCTGGCCATCCATGACCGTGCCTGGTACTCAGCCAGCTTCTGCTCCCGCACTTCCATCCCGTCCCTAGTCCTGTCTGTCCGGACCGGGAGGAGCAGGAAGTTTCCCACCAGCTCTGAGTCCTGCTCAGCTCCTCCAGGGTCTTTCTAGCCCAGAAGGTTGCTGCGGGCTTCCTCCGTCCCTCCTCTTCCATCTGACTCTCATGTCTATGCAGACCTTCAACGGTCACACAGCCCCGCCGAGGCCTCTGCAGGGTCAGCAGAAGTGGCATGGCACCATCAGGTCTCACTGCCATGGGGAAAGCTGCCATGCAGCCTCAAGGCCTCTGCAGACTAGAGGCGGCAAGATGGCCCTGGGGTCACAGCGCCCAGTAGTCCCGGCCTCTCCTTCCCGCACACCTCCACAAAGTGACAGTAGCCGTGACCCCCCCCCCCCCCCCCCCACACACACACACCAGAATTCCAGCATCCACTCCACACTCTAATCTCGGCTCCTCTCCTCACAGCCAGGGACGCAGGCAGGAAGGGCAGGTCGAATAGAGGCAAAGAAGAGGGGAGGGGCTGGAGGGATAGCACAGTGGGTAGGGCATTTGCGTTGCACGGGGCCAACCCAGGTTCGATTCCCAGCATCCATATGGTCCCCCAAGCACCACCAGGAGTAATTACTGAGTGCAAGAGCCAGGACCCCTGTGCATCGCTGGGTGTAACCCCAAAAAAAAATTAAAAAAAGAAGAAGAGGGGAAAGAGTAATGACCAGCCAGACAGGGAGGGGCCCCACTGGAGACAGGCCGGGGAAGGCTCACAGCTGAGGTAACCAGAAAGACTCGAGCCAGAGATGTCTGGGGAGGCTGGGGGAGGCCTGGCGCCTCACAGCCTGCCTCACGCCCTCTCGGATCCGGAGAACCCCTCATTACGCAGACGTGTCCCTGCCCAGAGCCAGCTGTGCCCTGCTCGTGGGCAGCCGAGGCGGCCTGGGCTGGGCCGGGAGCGGGGTCGATCCAGATGCAGCAGGAGGCCGCCCGGAGCTGGCCAGTCCTCAGCCCACAGGCCCGTTTCTTCCAGCTCAGCTCCCCAAGGAGGCCACAAATGAAATCATGGAGGAGGAGGCGGGGAAGGGAGCCACAAGGGACAAAGGGGGGGAGGGAGCGTGCGGGGACATGCAGGGAGAGAGGCAATGGTTAGAGTGGGGCCAGTTGCGGGGAGAGAGGTGGGGACAGTGAGGGGCCAATACCCCTCTGCTCTGGGCCACAGCCAGACAAAAGCCCAGACTTGACGTGGAGCAAAGAGGGTGCCCACCATAGCCCACAGGGGCCATGACACTGCCTAGCTGTGGGCTTGGCTGAGCTTGGCCGTGGAGGGGACAGCAGAACAAGGGGCAGAACTGGGTAATGGGTGGTGGGAGTGGGGTATCCACATTCCCTGCACACACGCATGCGCGCTCGTGTGTGTGTGTGTGTGTGTGTGTGTGTGTGTGTGTGTGTGTGTGTGTGTTGGTGGTGGGGGGAACGATGGGCCCGATGTGGGGGGGGCGCTGAAGAGAGAAGGGTCATTACTGAGCACAGTGAGCTTGGCCCTCCGTGAGCGCAGGGCGGCCTCCGTGGCCTGGCACTCGTAAGAGGCGTCATCAGAGAGTTCGGCGTCCGTGATCTCCAGGTTGTACTGCCCAGTGTCCGCGGAGCCCACCACCCGGTACCTCGGCCAGGCTGCAGAGGAAGAAAGCAGAGACACCTTTATCCAGGAGCCTGCCCTGGAGGATATAGCTCCCCCTTGTCCCCCCCACCACTCATGACCTTCTCCCAGGTCCTGGCACCCTGGGGCAGGCACATGGGCATGGGCAGATGCTGCCTTGACACAAGCCCCCAAGAGTGAGGCGGGAGCCCTCAGCGGGAGGGGCAGACGGGGAAGGCGGGGGCTGTGGAGATGGAAGCTTGAAGCTGTTTGCAGACAAATGTCTCTAATAATAATAGGGGGGAAGGGAGGAAGGCAGTCAGCAGGGAGGAGAGGAGAGGAGAGGGGAGGCGAGAGCAGAGGGTGCTAGGAAATTCTGCGCAGAGAGCTCAGCGGCCTCTGCCAGGGGACTCAAGGCAGGCCTCAGTGACCTCAACAGCAGGGCAGGCCAGTAGCCCCCCGTGGGGGCGAGGGGCTCTGGCTCCAGCTGCCTCCCCTCAGCTAAGTCTGAAGAGCCAGAGGCCTCTCCTCACCACCCTCTTCATCGACCTCTCTTGCTCTCTCTCTCCTCGCTCTCTGCTCGCTCTCTCTCTTTCTCTCTCTCTCCCCCTCCTCCTCTCTGCCTCTCCCTCTCTGTTTTTCCTTCTTCCTCTCTCTCTTTCCTTTCCCTTGCTCCTTCTCACTCTCTCACAGGCTCTCACCCTTTCTGGCTTCCTCTTACTTCCCCTTCCTCTCTGTCTGCTCCCTCCCATTATCTCCCTGTCCACAGGATATCGATCCTTCTTACTCCATATCTATTGATCTCTCTCTCTCTCTCTCTCTCTCTCTCTCTCTCTCTCTCTCTCTCTCCCCCCCCCCCCTCTCCCAGTTTCTTTCTCTTTCTATACAAATTTCCCTTTCCTGAACGGAGACAGGGAACCCACAGCCAATAATCCAACCCCTGGACAACAATAAGAATGAAAATATACACTCCCTCATATCCTCTTGTATTTTTATCATTAGATTGCAAGGCAGAAAAAGCGTTTTCGCAAAGCAACTTCCGTCATTTGGTTCCAGGGCCACTGAAGCCACCGAGAGGCGGGCCGGCCGGTCACGACAATTGTGCCGTGTATCCACAGGAGCCAACAGAGATGCAGAGCGGGGGAAGTGGGTATCCTAGGGGCGCCCAGCCGGCAGGAGGCCATGGCAGGACTTAATGCAGGCTCAACTCTGCCCCGCGGCCTTTCTAAATGTCTTTTCACTTTCTTTGGCACCCAGATTAGCGTTTGCTGTCACCACTGGCCCTTTCTTGCTTGTTTACAGATTCAGTGTGCTCGCCTCAGTTCCAGAGTGTTCCATGAAGACTCCTGGAAAGGTTCTTTGGGTTCAGGCCTCTCTGAAACCCACCCACTATGAGGAGAGGATCAGGGTCCCAGCGCCAGGCAGAGGGAGAAGAGTGCACAGGGCAGGAGGCGGGGCCTGAGCACAGGTGTTGGGTGAGGAGGGGAAGGGGGGTTAAGGGGAAGCCGGGGGCAGGGGACACAGAAACGAGGCCATGTGCTGCCTGAGCTGGCCCAAAGGCTCACTCACCTTTGAGGCCCTGGCCCATGCCCAGTGCCAGCCCATCCTTGGTCCACTGCACGATCCCCGAGTAGTTGAGTAACACGCAGGGGAGCACGGCCCGCTGCCCCGCCACCACGGTCTGGTCGGCTGGCTCCTGGCTGAAGCGGGTCTGGGTGCCTGCCAACAGCAAAGTGGCCCCAGGTCAGGAAGTGAGAGCAGGGGACGCCACCAAGTCTGCCCCTCTGACTCCCGCTCGCTCTCTCCTTGCAGGGGTGGGGTGCTAGAGAAAGGCCCTTTAGGGCCCCAGTCCCTCCTGGCCCTGCCTTCCTTTCCCCTGCAGGACGGTGCCACCCACTGCTCTGGATTCTTTTATTTATTTATTTATTTATTTGCTTTTTTGGGTCACACCTGGCAACACACAGAGGTTACTCCTGGCACATGCACTTAGGAATTACTCCTGGCAGTGCACGGGGGACCATATGGGATGCTGGGAATTGAACCCGGGTTGGCCGCGTGCAAGGCAAACGCCCTACCCGCTGTGCTATCACTCTAGCCCCTCTGGAGTCTTTTCTCCCTCCATGGCCCACGCAGCTTCATGTGAGGTTGAGCCCAAGCCTCCCATTATGCAGGGGGAGACACAGATATCCGGGAGGCAAGAAACTTCTCCGAGGAACCTGGGGAGCTAGGGTAGGGTGAGGACTGGAGCCTGGAATCTTCCCCCAGCCCCAGGCCACGAGGGGGAGTGACCGTGACAGTGACCTCCTTGGGATGTCACAGCTCCTTGGTCCTGGAGCCACAGCCCTTCCTGGGACATGTGCCCGAGGAACAAACTCGAAGGAACTCATGTCGGCCACAATACCCACGACCGTTCCCTACAGTAGATGCAGGCAAAGAACACGCCCAGGGTCACGCGTGCTGGTGCGTGGCTCACTCTGCGGGTGTGGGGACAGCCCAGCGGCTCTGACCCACCTTTGGGTGCACCTGCGCTGACCTCATTTGCCCCTCCAGCACCGGGGGGGCATGAGAGTGTGAACACAAACACACGCGTGCCACCCACGGCCCTCCCTGTGCGCCCAGCGGGAGGCACCGGCCATGTGACTCGGCTCCGTTCTCCCTCCGGCTGTGGGAGCTACACATGGCTGCCTGCTGGCAGTGCGGCTCGGCCGGGAGCATTTGATTAGAGAACTGCAGAGTAATTGCCTTTAATTGTGGAGCCTAAATGGAGCGGGGAATTGGATTGTGGGTTCCATACCCTGCCCCCCCTCACACACACACTGCTTGCACCCACCCACTCTACCAGCACTAGTTGGGCACTGGTGAACGGGCCAATGGCCATCAGCTTCCCATGCCAGGCTGTGGGAAAGAGGAGATGAGCGTCTGAGGACAGCAAAGAGCTAGCCACATGCCGAATGCATCAGGCCATCCCAGCCAAACTTGGCTATCCACAGAAGTCAGGGACTCCCTCTTCTTCCTCCCCAGCTCAAGAGACCTGATCCCTAAATCCAACCCGTTTTAAGCTCCACATCCCCAAACTTCTCAGGTCTTCCCTCATTCTTGTGTGTAAACAGTTCCCAGACCTCCACGACACCCGAGGTGAGACCCTCGTTTCATTCTCTCCTTGACTCCTGCCCCTTCTCTCTTTCTCCTCAAGTTCCACTTCTCCCCTTCTTTCCAAATATCCTCCCACTTCCAGGAAGCCCTCCTACACTGATCTCTCAGCTCTCTGTGCCACCCATCAGGAGACTTCCGATCCCAACCTCCCAGAGGGTGTACCCATGTTTGTCGGGGTCATCAGGGACTAGAAGGCAGCTGGAGAGAAGGGTGGTATGCAGAGAGCTTATTTGGCCAGAGGGGGGCGCTCTCCTCCATACCATGTCAAGAACCAGGGGCCCTGCTGGACCTGACAGTGGTCAACGCGTATGTGATTTCAGCCTGTCCGGATAATTGTGCAAACCCAGCTCTTAGGTCAGCGGTTAGGCCCTCCCCAAACGGAGAGAAAGCTGTCCCGACACCGTCTGGAATTGACAAGTGACCTCACAACCAACCTCACCCATGTCTTCTAAGGAGGCAAAGGATAAACTGCGGCCCCCTCCCCAACTTCCTGGGATTAGGGTGGCAGGTGCTGAGATCCTGGGGGAGGGGGTAGGTCAGGTGAGCAGGCAGCATTATTAATTCAGGCATTGCCCTCATTATTATTCAAATTTATTCATACCCTTGCGCATTTCTCTAGAGCAGCTAGCAAGCTGCAAACTCTCCACACTGACACTGATGTTTCTCCTTCCCGTGTCCGCCCCCCCCAGTCCCCATCCCCCCCCAACCGGGGCCCAGTAAAGGGCTTAGGAGCAGAGTGGCCTGTGAGCGTCATTCCAAGAAGTCGTCAGAGTCACAGCTGGCCTGCGGGGCCCTGGGTGCTCAGGCTTCCCTGGAACCTGGGGAGGACAGTGAGAAGCTGGCTTTGGTCATTGTGTGCGGCAGCAGCTGACCCTGTGGAGGGATAGCAGGACAGCCTGGGAGTCAGCGGCGGGGGGAGGGTGACCTTGGAAGTGTAGCTGGTCTGCCGGGGGACAAGTCTGAACTCAAGAGCAGAGAGAGCTGCAGGCCTGGTTTGTAGAGAACAGGATTTCTTTTTTTTTTTTTTTTTTTCTTTTTGGATCACACCCAGTGATGCTCAGGGGTTACTCCTGGCTCTGCACTCAGGAATTACTCCTGGCGGTGCTTGGGGACCATATGGGATGCCGGGGATCGAACCCGGGTCGGCCGCGTGCAAGGCAAACACCCTACCTGCTGTACTATCGCTCCAGCCTGAGAATAGGATTTCTAAAGTGGGCATCCCAGCCGGAGAGAGGGGTCTTAGGACAACTGGGGGCTGCCTTCTCTTTGTTTGCATAAAAGAAGGTTGATTTCCATGGTCCCAATGATCCCGCCCCCCCGCAACTGCCCCCAAAGGGGGGCACCAGGCCCAAGAAGTTGAAACCTTTGACCTAGAGCGTCCGGGCGAGTCACCTCCTCTCCTTGCCCCATCTCCCTGCTGGTGAGCACCCACCAAGGGGCCTCTGGGACCCTGCGCGAGCACAGGTATGTGAGCTGCCTGTATCCCATGCTCTGTGCCCATCAAGCCACAGCTATGGCCCTCTAGGCAGGCAGGGAGGGCCGGACATCTGCACAGGAAACAGGACAGTGAGGGCCATGCCCGCCAGCCTGGGGGCTGAGCAGTCCCTTGGGGCTTAGTTCTGTAAAAGCAATTTATTATTTTAAAAAATTTTTTAATGAATTACCATGAGATAGTTACAGATTTACAGACTTTGGTGATTATGTTTCAGTCACACAATGATCAAGTACCCATCCCTTCCCCAGTGCTCATTCTCCACCACCAATGTTCCCAGTAGTCCCCCACCCTGTCTCTGTGGCAGGCACATTCCCTTTTACTCTCTCTCTCCTTTTGGGTGTTGTGGTTCACAATACAGGTACTAAGTGACCATCATGTTCGGTCCACAGTCTACTTTCAGCACACATCTCCCATCCTGAGCGAGCCCTCCAAGCATCATTTACTTGGTGGTTTCTTCCTTATCTCAGCTGCCTTTTCCCCCAGCATGTGAGGCCGGCTTCCAAGCCATGGAGTGATCCTCCTGGCCCTTATCTCTACTATACTTGGGTATTAGTCTCCCATTCTGTTACTTCATATTCCACAAATGAGTGCAGTCATTCTATCACTTAGCATGACACACTCCATGTTGATCCACTTATGCAAATTTCATAACTTCATCTTTTCTAACAGCTGCATAGTATTCCATTGTGTAGATGTACCGGAGTTGTGGAAGCAATTTAGTGTGGAGCTCAGAGGGGCAAGTGCGAGCCCTGGAGAGAACCCAGAGAGGAGGGAGGGGAACTCAACTCAGGGACTCAGGGACAGGCAGCCTGGAGCTGGAGCCCGCAGGTATCTGTTGCCCACAGCCTCTGTGACCAGGGGAGGAGCAGGGACAGCAACCAGAGCCTCCGGGGCTCCCACCTGGCCCCTGCAGAGGATGGAGCCCCAAGTGACACCTCTGCACTCAGCCCACAGCGTCTGTCACTCCTGCACAACCTTTGCTACAAGCCTCTCCCTGGACATGCCACTGCTGAAGTCACCTCCTCTGTGAAGTCCCCCATGCCTGCATGCCCTCTGAGACCTGTGCCAGGTTTGTTGCAGGGCTTCCCGAGAAGCCTGTCCTGAGTAAGCATGTGCTTTGTGCCCTTCAGTGAGAGGAGAACAGGGCTGGGAGTCAGTGGCGGGGGGGGGGGGGGGGGGGGGGGGAGGCGAGGGGGGGGAGGGCTCCCTGGGAGGGAGTCTGGAAGGTTCTGACATAACAATGATGGGGCTGGGTGTGAGAAGAGGTGACTGTTGGAGGAAAAGCCTAGAAAGTGAGTGGTGGGTGCAGGACAGCCCCACAGCAGAGGCCAGAGAGATATAACTGCAGATGACACATGTGCCTGGCATGCAGAGGTCCAGGCTCAGCATCTCCAGGCAACCTCCCCTGCCCACCCCCGAAAAGGAAAAAGAATAAAACAAGCAGGAAGTTAGAAGCGCTGGGGGTGCAGCCACCAATAGTGGGCATTAGGTGTGTCTGGAGAGTCCAGGGGCTCTCTGGTCACTTGATGTCATGGACATACAGACCCTCTCTTACACCTGCCTCTGAATTCCCGCAGCCCAGCCCCGTGTTCCCAGCTCCCCTCAGGACATAACGCCGTCACCAAACATCCTAGAAGGTCGGGCTGCAGAGAGCCCAGAGGCCCAGCTCCCGTCCCAGCACTACCTAATCCCGGAGCGTTGCTGCACATGACCCCCTACCATGGAATTGGGAGTAGCCCCCAAGCACCTCCGAGTGTGGCGCCCACACCCAAAACAAACGAACAGAAGGGGTCTGTCTTGCAGCAGGGTTGTGCTACGAGGGCCAGAGAGGCAGGTGAGAGGAACGGGGAGGGCCTGACACTGATACACACGGAAGCAGAAGCGCCCATCAGCATTCACAGGCTGGGCCACTGGCAGTTGCCATTCAGGGGGAGCTCCCAGGGCCAGCGCGGTTGGTCCTTATGTGCATTTTTAATTAATTAATTAATTTGCTTTTTGGGTCACGCCTGGCAATGCACAGGGGTTACTCCTGGATTTGCACTCAGGAATTACTCCTGGCGGTGCTCGGGGG